CTGCTGCTCGTGAGTCGAACGAGGAAGGTCTCGTCTGCTGTCACTGTGGGAGTGGGACTTTCCCGACCTCCTCATTTGCATTTGCGATTGTCATAAAAAGTCGGAGGACGCCGGTCTGGTGCATCGTCAGTGTGTCGAGGGATTATTACGGAAGACTCTCGCGAGCCACTGCCCAAACTGTCGCAGTGAATACTTCATCCCTTCGGACTGCGACGAGAAACTACGTCGGACTGCCATCCGGTTGGCCCTGGTTCAATTCACAGCGGCGATAATTTTCTTCGGAATTATCATAACCGTTGGGGTTATTCTGGTCATGCCGGGCCCACCTGAGGAAGGGGACCCAGAGGAAGAGATCCCCCTCAGTGGCCTAGCCCAACTAGTAGTGTCCCCCAAGGACTGGTGGTCCGAGTCTGTTGTCGAGGAGTTCATGACCACAGTCGAGCCCTCTTTCCCCAGTCTGGGGAGATCGAGCCACTTCCTGCAAAAGGGCATATCCCGACGTCGCCACAGAATGCTGGCACTTAGACTCGCTGCGGTTGCCCTCATGACTGTGGTGGCCCTAAGCCTCTTTTTCGGTAGGTGCCCCGTGGGGTAAGTGAACTCCTCCTCTACTCAGCGTGGCAGGTACGAGGTCGTTGCAGAATCGTCGAAGGGCCATCACTCAAGACCTTGAGACGCTCGACTCTACCCGTCTGGTTGCTCTACTGGATGAGCTACTGGGCCCTAATGCCCGTATGAAGGCCGTGAGAGATGGTCAGTGGTAGTTTGCCGGGAGGGGAGGTTCTCCAGAGTTGCCGTTGGTTCAGATTCTGCCGCAGTTTTACCTTCAACGTGAGCCCAAGTGAATCATGCAAACTCAATGGTGTTAAGCAGATGTATTTTGAAGGTCATCTGTTATTTGTTGAAGTGCAGGGAATCTACCCGGGGTCGTGCCATTGTCGTTGTTTCATCTCATGCCAGAGTTCGGCGAACTTCCGTATCGATCGGGAGCATCTATTCTAGTGTGGTGGTTACAGCGATCGTCAGTCACTGGACAAGGCAGTGGCAGACCTTCTTCGTGTGATGGGGTCGTCGGGTGGTGACCGCTGGGCCGCTCGGAGGCTGCCTTCTTCTGCGTTGTACCGGAGTCTACGGAGAGGTATGCTCGACGGAGGTGCCCGCGTTGTGGGTGAGCTACGGTGATTGTGGAAGATGGATGCCTTGATCGGACAAGGAAAGCTGGTAGAGGCGTTGGGCGCGGCTCAAGGGTGGATATATAGGGCTCCGAGTGGCTGGCAATTCGTCCATCCACGGCGGGCCAGTGGGTTGAGGATATGATATTAGTCTTGAGATTGGGCAGGAAGGAGAAGATGTATCAGGCTAGGGTCTGGTGCTGTGATCGAGAGGACGTTGAGGGGCTCGAGGCCCTTGGGGAACAGGTAGTGGTGTGTCTGTGATGATCTTGAGTTCTCCTCGTTTCTTATGACGGTGGTGCTGTTCGGTACTACCATCGATAGGATCCCAGTGTGGAGAGGGCCCCGTCTGAGTCTATATCGATTGGGGCCAGATCGACAGCCACACTGTCATTGGTTCTGCTCTCTGTATGTGCGCAGCATAAGGATGATAGAGTTAGTGGCAATGGGGTCGGCCCCTACCCATTATGACGGGGTATGAGTCATACGTCCATCCTGGTGTTAGTTCCATGAACTCTATGGAGTTTCCCTTTACTGTTCGTGTTGGGTCCCTCCCTGCTCCGTTTGATAGTGTTGATGGCAGTAGAGTGTTGACGAGTGGTCGTCATTGTTGTTGTTGGCCTCGTCCTCCTCCTTTAAAAATGCCTCACTTCTACAACATGACGTTGTCGAAGACCTCGGCCGTCACATGCGCGGTGTATGGTAACTTCTCGGCACCGAAAGCTCAGGAGATAGTCGTGGCCAGAGGTGCTGCCCGAGTGGGCGTTTTTTGGGCCTATTCCGTATCTTGTCAGGCTCGACCTTGGAGTTGCTGCGTCCTGATGAGCAGAACAGGCTGCAGACTGTGATATCCGTCAACTGCTTCGGCCTCATACGTTCGCTGGAGACCTTCCGTCTGGTGGGGGCCAATAGGGACTACCTCCTGGTTGGCTCTGATTCGGGTCGAATCGTCATTTTGGAGTACAACACTACGAAGAACATCTTCGATAAGGTCCATCAGGAGACCTATGGCAAGACGTGAGATTTCCGTCACTGCGCCACGAAATTCGACATGCTACTGCTGCTGTTTTAGGGGTGCCGACGTACTGTACCTGGTCAGTACTTGGCTGTTGA